CCACAGCTGTCCCCCTCCATCCCCCACCTTTCTCCCATCGGTGCATAGGCCCACCCCAGGGCTGGTGTGGCAGGCCAGCACACTTGGCCAGCCATGTCCTCATTTCACAGGCAAGGCCACCGAGCCCCGGGCAGGTACAGGCCTGAGCTCCCCACCGTCTCCTAGCCCAGCCCCCCCCACCAACCACATGGTGCATCCCCTCGGTCAGTCAGGCCGAGGAGGGGACAGGCGCTGGTGTCCTGGGTCTCTGGGCTGTTCTGTCCCACGTGCCATTGGTCCAGCTGTGAAGATTGCAGGGATCTGGCCTCGAGCTCCAGGTTACGGCCGGGTTCCTGGGAGGCCTGGCACCGTGTCCCTGGTGTCTTACCCACACCTGGTGCTCCAGGCTGGGCTCAGCCACCCCCCCTCGCTGGGCGGCCCCAGCGTTGTGACCCCACAGAGAGCCTTGATGTCACCACCTGAGCCTCTCTGGGCGGGGACAGCGTCTTGGCCCACACTTCCTGCTCACAGGGCTGGAGGGCATGTCCGGGTCCTGACGGAGGAGCCCACGCCAGCCCTGGGGCACGCGCTGCACGGTGCCTCTGCCAGCTCGCGTGACGGACACCGAGCGCAAGCCCTGCCCCGAGCCCCACCGTCGACACGGGGTGCACTCAGGAGAATTCCCCCTTCGCCCTCGCAGTTGCGATCCAGTGCCTGGAGACCGCTTTCGGGGTGACGGTGGAAGACCGTGACCTCGCGCTCCCTCAGACTCTCCCGGAGATATTTGAAGCTGCCGCCATGGGCAAGGTGAGCTGCTGGTTGCCTGTGCCGCCATGATGAGGCCTGCGTGTCCCTTGGGCCAGGGGGGTGGGGCCCTTGGGTGGCTCAGGGTGCCGGAAGTGGAGGGCGAGGAGGACAGCAGGACTGCCATCTTCCCTTTCCGTCCAGGAGATGCCGCAGCACCGGGACCCAGAGCGAACCCCGCCGTCGGAAGAGGATTCAGCCGAGGCGGAGCGCCTCAAAACCGAAGGTAGGACATGAGCTCTCCCCCAACACCAGGACCCAGGGCCGCGGGGCTGAGGCAGGCCGTCCCCACTCTGTGGCCCCAGGTGGGTGCTGTCACACCTCGGCTGGCAGGCCAGTCTCTCGGGGGTGCCGAGAGGCTTCCATGAACACAGACACGTGGACGTGAAGAAATCAATCTTCTCACCCAAGGGGCCACATAAGTGGTGCAGCCGCTATGTTAAACACAGTGACCACTCGTGGGCCCAGGGGACACTCAAACGCACCCACAGACGTGCTTGTACTGGAATGCTCATGGCGGCACAATTCCCAGTGTAAACCACCCAGGTGTCCACACGCATGTCCACCCACACGGGGGTGTATCCCTCGGCCATGAAGAGGGCGGAGGGGCTGACACTCGCCATGACGTGGACGGACCTGAACACATGACGGTCAGTGAGAGACGCCGGACACACAAGACCACACAGTGTGATTCTATTTACGTGACGTGTGTAGAACAGACACACTCACAGAAGGGAAGTGGGTGCATGGTTGTTACGAGATGGGGAGGGTGACTGCTCGTGGGGACGGGGTTCCTTTTTGGGGTGACAGTATGTTTTGGAAAGAGGGGTGATGGTTGCACATCTGACTATACTTAAACAGCGCTTGGCTGTGCATTTTCAAAGGGTGACTTTTGTGGTACATGAATTACGTGTCGTTAAATTGCGCTGTTTCTGGGGAAAGATGCAAAAGTGACAGCATTTGAGACTTATGTTCCTGGACATCAGGACCGAAGCTGTGGCAGCCTCCGTCACTGAGCGCCGGCTCCGGCTCTCAACCGAAACCGCACCCTCCCCCTCGCGCCAGGGTGCTGCATCCTGCCCCCTGAAATCATGGACCTTCAGCTAGCCTGGGAGCGCTGCGGCCGACGCCTCAGCCCGGTGCTCTCGTGCGAGCAGCCTGTGTACGTTTTTCTTTCTGTTCAGGAAACGAGCAGATGAAGGTGGAGAACTTCGAGGCCGCCGTGCACTTCTACGGGAAAGCCATCGAGCTCAACCCCGCGAACGCCGTCTACTTCTGTAACAGGTACGTGCCGGGAC